CGGAAGTGTGACAAATTACTTTATCTACTTATTTAATTTCCTACCCCATTGCTTATCAGTGCAAGAAGGAAAGAAAAGCAGGGATTAACAAGTCTTTGAGACTTAGTGCAGTGGAAGGAGACGGTATCAGACCTAATTATCTTGTCAAATCTAAACTTATTTGGTATGCTTTGTGTTGATGCCAAACAAGTCAAGCAGAAGAATGATGGGAGATAAAATCTATAACCACAGATGAACTGCTGTTTACCTTCTGCTAAAGTGTTAGGTGTTAAAATGTATAAACCAACTGACAATAGTTGAGGTTTAAAACAATAATATATATGTAATTTAGACCCAGTAAGAACCAGTTTCAGGAAGGCCCCCCTATTGTAAACATAATATGAATAAAACAAAGTTTACATGAGACAGTGACCATACACCCTTAAAGGTTACATATGACAGTCTCTGAAATATGGAAGTCTTTCATTGGGGCAGATGATGTAAAAAATATGTTTATTACCTCATAATTGTTGCAGACATTTGAAGAACAAACTGAATCAGTTAAAAGACCCAAACCATTTGTCACTTCTCTGAATGTTTAACTAATATACTCTGACAGTATAGAAAGATATTTCAGATTTTACAAAAGAATAACTGCATCCTATGTGTTTCACAATGTAACAAATGAGCTTCAAATACATAGATGATAGACCTGCACACTCATATTTTAACCCCCCGCCCCCCAAAAAACAAAAAACAAACAACACAAATTTCAATGATCACAGGCAAATTCTAGATAAATAAAAGGAAGTGTTAACACAGTTCTTTTAGGGTTTATTTCAGAAGAGTGGAAGTATTCTACTAAAACTACAGTACAAAAAGTGCAAAACTATGTGTATTTTAAGTTTTTTTCAATTCATAGCACACAGTACATTATACTATATAAATAAATGTTTATTTTGTAACTTATAGGTTAATTTGTATTTGCTATTTAATTAACTGTTAAAAATCTGTTGATTTATTGATACATATAACAGATGACACACATATAGGCCAAAAAATAACATACATTCTTTCAACATCTAGCCATAAGGTTCAATGACCTCATGGTTTGGCTAAATATGCTATATGAAAAAGCTATTTGACTTTTTACAAAACATTTTAAATTTATACTGCAAAGCTAAAAAATTTTTTCCAGAAAAACTCAATTTTTAAAGATACAAAGTTTCTGACTTTCAAAGACAATAGATTATTATTCTCTAATATATATAGATATTTTTGTCAATCAAAAAATTTATTATCATGCCTTTGTCTTCTTTTATCTTTATGCATAACTGCTAATTAAATCAGTAATTACTGGAACAAAGTTAAATGTTGGTAAAAAAAATAAAAATTAAAATAAGAAAAGCTCTAACAGACAATATTTTGTCATCCTCCTGCTGTACCATTCAAAATGAGCTGTGTCTTTAAGTACACAATCAAATCAGTGATTTTTAAACGCCCCCCCAAAAAACTGAATATGTGAATATAAATCATAGCCATTAATAAGCAGCCTACATGCACACACCAGCCTAACTTTAGGTCAAACTCCTGCAGTTTGGGAATGATCGACTGCTGATGCATCTCGTTAGCTAAGCCCACTGGAGGCCTGTGCTACTTCAAACACCTCTATGCTGCTGAGGCTACTGCTGCGCAGGCTGCTGGTTATAAATAGAAACCAATCTGCAACCCCACCTAATGAGCACAATCCACTTCAGAAAAAACTGTCAACAACCAGCCATAATACCTATGTTTGCGTAGAAATGTGTGGTGGCGGGGGTGTGTAGGTACAACTGACTATGCTGTTTTGATCAGTGGTGTATTGCAACTCAATGTTTTGTTGAGAAGGTAGTCAGTATTCAAATGTGTGACAAGAGACAAGAACATTTCCTTTTCTCACCTCTTTTACTTTTTTGTTTATTTTATTCTTCAAATTCTGCCCCTCTTTGGTTTCACTTTCTGTAAATTGCCCTTTTACCAATGAAATGCATGTAAATCCATAAACATAAATATGTGCATCAGGCATGCTTGTTTAGGGGATGCATAAGGTGTGACAAAGTAAATCTTCAGAAATGGGGCTAAATTAATTATTTAATGCCATAATTAATTAAAATAATTGCTTATCTGATCTATTAAGTGTAAAACTTTGGTCAAATGTGTTTTTGATCTTTGTTTTAAGAGTTGAAATACATTTCAGAAGGGAAAGTTGTCTGTAACTGAGGTTTTTGAAGTGGTGTGAAAGCCAAACAACTGTGCAAGTCCAAGGACAATCACAGGCACTTGCACTAC